TGATGCCAACTCTGGCCCGCATGAAGGGCTGGAGCTACCTTGGGCTACTCCCAAGTATTGGTTAACTGGTAAGCATCACCCTTACCAGGAAACCGGTTAAACAATTACCTGTTCACGTCCCTAAAATGAAAGGGTCATAACTAAGACAGCCCAAGTATCAACACTGGCCTGAAGTCATGCACAGAGCCAAATTCCAGAAGAATCAGAGTCTTTACAGCAATGGTTCTCAACTAACAGTACAAATACTCGTGAGGAGTACTCAGAAGTCTTCCAGGGGTACATCAACTTTTCTAGATATTTGCTTAGTTTTACAACAGGCTACCTTAAAAGCACTAGTGAAGTTGGCACAAACTAATATTTCATACACACAAAGTGAAAAAGTAAGTGATTTTTCAGTAACAGTAGGTCTGATTTTGTAAACAGGTAGTTCTGAAGTGAGGTAAAGCTTGGGGTATGCAAGTGTAGGACTGGGGTCCCATCGCAGAGGTTAGCCAGCAGGCCAACAGACGCCCCTGTAACTGTTTAAGTTTTTAACCTGACTCCTTCACTTGCTGTAACAGAACCAAGCACAATTTAAAAGAACTTCAGCCGGTCATAAGGGGCGTCTGTTGGCCTGCTGGCTACCCTCTGCGACGGGACCCCAGTCCTAGCAGTAAAGACACGGACATTAAACCTTTTCTCGGAAACACACACACTGCCTTGACCGTCGGCTGACAGCAAGACAACTCAGACTCTTGAAAGGGGTACAGTAGTCTGGAAAAGTTGAGACCCACTGCTTTACAGCAGGGTGCATCAAAGTTTTAATCAAAATAAGGCTGACAAAGCTGTTGGAGTCTAGTGCATTTCAGGACTTCTACTATGGGACATCATTGATATATATTAATTATTTGTATTGCTGGAGCACCTAGGATCTCCAGACATGAAGCAAGATCATATTCTGGTGGGGTGGATCTCTGAAAAACATCTGAGGATTTTTATTGTTCTTCTGTTAATTCAAGATTTAACTAATTATTCAGTATAGAAGGTCTTTGATTTAGAGGGAACAGTGAGGAAGCAGAAGCTGACTGCCTTTTGGCTCAGGGTAGAGACACAAAGCTTTCTGCACAAAACTAATTGCCATCCTTTTGCCTTCTTCCAAAGAGTAGTAAGCATCTCTTACCAACATATGAAGATTTGCTACTCTAGGTTATTTCACTAAATTGTATAAAGTAGGATACAATATCACTAAAATGGGAATGAGAGTCAAAACACAAGTAAACATTCAAAAACCAAGAACAAAGAAACATATCTATGACACATTTCAAAATTATCACTTACCTCAGACTTGTAATCATCTTCCCATCTAGAATAAAAAGAAGAATGTTTTGTTGTTAAAGCAACAACATAAAGGTTATTTCAAAACAATTTTAGAATTTTACCTAGGCCACCCTGCATACAGATTTCAACTTCCCAAGTGACCTCAATTGCTAACACAAAAGACATCTCAACATACAGTCCATCTATAGTACCACATTCAATGCTGGGATATAGGACCACGATAAGGCCACCAAAACAGTCCAAGAACACTTTTGTTTACACAGACACAAGTAACTAAAAGCTCCTTCACAGAACAGCAGTTCCTTGAGAAGAAAAATGTCCCAATTATGCTGGTAATCTACTAAGGTTATGTGCCACCTCTGGAACACATTCTCAACCAATGCCAGTACTGGGAGTGATGGACTATTCTGAGATATGAACTGCAGTTTTTCTGTTTGCTTGTATTAAATGTTTTCTGTTTTCCTGAATTAAATGACTCAGCGAGTGCAATACCTCAGAAAGTTATACAAATAAGACTGTCATTTAAATCCATAACTAACTGATGATCAACAAAGTTTTGTACAAAAGAAAAAACTGAATAAGACAATACAAAAATGCAGGATATTTTTCTTTAGACAAACAGCAATGGTCTGAGAAACAAAATAAATGACCATTTAATCATTTCAAATGTAGGGGGATAGGATAGTAATAAATCTATTCCTGTGGTAGTTTATTGGAGGTTTCCTCACCTTGATTTTTTCTTTGCTGATGAGGCTGCTAGGAAAAAAAAAAGTTGTCAGCAAGAGCAATGGGCATTTTTGTATCATTGAAACTTGATTATAATATAATTTCAGTATTTACACTCCCAGTTTAGTTAAGTTTAGAACTCCTCAGCACTGCTCCTGTTCATTACGCCAATGCATCTGATTACATTTGTCACCATCAGCCAAATTCATCTTCCTTCTTATATTATTATTAGGATAAACTTAAAAAAAACAACAGTCTGATTAAAGACTAACAAAACGTGTAGATGGTATCATTAGCTTTCATGGACATGACCCACTTCTTCAGATGACTACTAAGTGTACCTGGAAATGTCTGCCTACAACTGGCTTTATTCAGAATGTGTCACATCAGTGTTCCAGATTACATAAATGTGTTTGGATCAAATCTTTACTTCTGACTTTATTACTAAGCTAATTTTAAAGATATAATATTTGCAATATTCAGCTGCAATGATATTTAGACAACTGTTAGCATACTAAAGTAATTGCAGAGATTCAGTAAAGAACCCATGTTTTTTCTATTCGAGGTTCACCCTTCATCTTCTTTCAATAGATTATGTAGAGTATGGAAACAAGTAGGCCCCCTAGCCCTGGTATAAGTGTCAGTGTAAATGGTAAGACAGGGCATAGGAAAGTAAAGACAACTGAAGAGCAGGAGTCTGAATCAAATACAGTAAAACTCCGATAATCCGGCATCTGATGGTCCGGCACCATCAGGAACCCGCAAGTGCTCTGGGCAGCCGGACCATTGGAGCTGCTCTGCCCCCAGCTTCCCCGATTC